TTACTAAAAAATTCAAGTCGATTTATTTTATTGACGGTACCACTACCATGTGGCCCACAGAACATCATGCATGTAAGCATCTGCCTTAGAAATGGAGAAAATTCAAGTCAAGCAAATGTTGATATTTTATACACTACTTCTGTCTTTGAAACAAAAATTCACTTGGGACTTTTCAGTTAAAAATGGTTAGAAGGCAAAGCAGAATTAATCAAACCAAATAAAAGCTTTCCAATTCAGGTCATTATAAAAAGACACCTTTTTAATAAAGGAAACAAACTTCACAATAAAATGAACTGCCAAAAGAACAGTTTTTCTATTGACACTGCTATTATTTTAACTACCTTCACTCCTTGGCAATGTTTATCATTTTAAAAAGTGATTACTAGAATTTAAATAAAACCTAAACATATGATGCAAGTGAATTTATACATTTTCTTTTATTGTTTTTGAGAATTTATAACAAAAATATTATCACTATTTATTAGATTGTTTATTTACAAGAATAATTTTATATTTACAAACATTCAAAAACTAATATTTATCATTTACCAAGAAATAAATATAAAAACAATTTGTTATTCATAAATTTATAAACATTTACTAAATTATTAAAATGTGTGAACCAATTATAAGGAAATCCTTATTTACTATTTTATAAAGTTTGAGTTGATTGGCAATTAGTCAATGTTGTGCCAACCATTCCATTAAATAATATAATGAATAGTGTAAATAAACAATCTAATAAATAAATAGTATTTATTATTTTTGTTGTCATTTCTCAAAGACAACGAAAAGGTATAAATTCACTTTCATATGTTTAGGTTTTATTAAAATTCTAATCATCACTTTTTAAAACAATAAACATTACCTAAGAGTTAAAGGTAGTTAAAAAAAGAAGTGTCATGAGAAAAAGCCTCCTTTTGACACTATCTTTCTTATTGTGGTTCCAAAGTTTTGTTCATTTCCTGCTAATGCTCTTGGAAAAGGCATGAAACCACCTTCCTCCAGCTACAGGTAATATAGCAGGACAGACTGGATCCTATTGCCTAGGTGGCAACCAGTCTAGAAGAAGGAAAGTTGAATTCAAGACCTGCCTGAAGAGGGATGGACTCCGTCAGGTTATCTTGTCCTAGACACACTCACTGCTGCTATGGCTGTAGTACAACCCCAACTGATTACATGAATAATTATGTGATCTGAATTAGACATCTTTTATGTACCGTGTCCCTTCAGGATGTTGGCAATCATGATGGCTCTTCACAACTTCCTGCCTTTTGCAGCTCTTAAAAATATTTTGTCTTTTTTGTTATTTGTGCTAAACTCTGCTCGGTCAGCCATCTACTCAAACTTGCTAGGTTGGTCAATGTCTTGTGAGTATCAAATTTTCCAAACCCTCTTTTCTCATTGTTCCCTAGAAAGTTCAACTGTCTCTTTCTGTTAATTATAAATGTCCTTTAGACATCAAATATCTTTAATAAATTCACATTTCATCTGATATATTTTTTACAGGTAAGTTATTAGAAAATACATTACTAGGCACAGGTATTCCTTACGTTTAGCAGGCATCAAATGGGAGATTATTCTTACTACAATCACCATCGGCTAAAACTCTAGCTTGTAAATTATTTCAAAACACATAATCAGGTTATAAAATTAAACTGAACGTCCCTATTTCCACAAAAAATATTTTTGTCTCATGACAAACAACATAATCACAAAATTTGAATTACATGACAAAGTATTTGCTGCCATCCAATCATATCTCAAGTCAGCTGTGACTCTGGGACCTCTATATCCATTAAGTAAACTTACCTTCCATGCAGTAGAAATTTTAAGATGGTTCTACAATCATCCTAAACCATTTTAAAACTGACTTCCATTTTTACTATATAAACAATACAATTTCACTTCTTTGTTTGGACATCTGCCAATAAAGATTGATTATTTTAAAGCTACAATTATATTCAAATATCTACTCAATTTTATTATTGTTGGCATTATCTACTGTAATTTGCCACTATAAACCTGACTGTTATTTAGTCAAGATATAATGAACAAAGTATTTTTTAATGACTATAAAAATTCCCCAGATATTGTGAAATCCTTCAGATGAAGCATTTTAATCATTTTTTTAATATCAATTACTTTTTTTTTTATAGCATTTAAGCATAATTAACCCACATTTTTCTCATCAGGTGTTAAACATTAAATTTGTAATGAATGCAAAAACTTGTATAGAGCTGAGCCAAATGGCAAATTTGTATGAAGCTCCAGTAACATTTACAAAAAATTTTAACAAAGTTATTTTTTTTTCTTAGTGTTGCCCATTGAAACAAAATCTTCCCATTGATCTTATATGCCATCAAATACAAAAGTTCAAACTAATATTTCCATCTTTGCCATTTTGTTACATTTCATCCACATAACTAACCAGTCTAAACTAACCTTTTATATAAGAGGTAAGTTAACCATGTCCTTCCATAAGTCAGCTGGTCTACAAACAATATGATAGAATTATGATATTATCTGAAATAATCATTTTGATATTATTTTCCTTTAACAGTATCATGCAAAAAAAACATTTAAAAATGTCTTGTTTATGCATCATTGAAGATCTCTCATTGGATCTACAATTAGATATGAACCACCTGCAGGACAATAACATTCTGAGTGTGTGTGTGTGTGTGTGTGTGTGAAGTGACATTAAAAAAATGTTTTTCTGTTGAAGAGATATTCATGCTTTAAAATCTTTTGCTTGAAAAAATCATTTGGCAGAAGAGATTTAAATGAAAAGACAATTCCAAAGAAAACACAGGTTAAAATCTGCATAAACTTGTGTTTTAATTAACATTTGCAATCAATTTGATGGAGAGGAAGAAGTGTTAACTTCTTTTTTCTATTAGAAAAAAAATTTCCTCTTTTTCATTGATGCTCCTTTAACAAAGTTGTTTTAGTGTTTAAGTTCATACATAATGGAAAAGATTATTAAATATGGTTTAAAATAAACAATTTAAAAAATGTATTATTATCTTAGTATTATAGGCATTCATAGTCTTAAGAGTCTGTCTTTCTCTACAAGTCCAAAGACATCACTAATTTGGTTTACTTACCAAAATACTATACAGCGAGTGGGAAATATATATATATATATATATATATATATATATATATATATATATATATGTATGTCAATCACAGACAGTAGTGTTTCACTGTATCACAGCTCCTCAGTGCAACTAGCCATCTGAATGCCTCAAGCTCGAACCAAAACCCGACCGATTTGGTGTCAGTCAGAGTTTCTACCAAGCCATTATCACTTTGCAGAGAAAAACAGCTAATTGTAGCATATTGTTTTTATGAATGTAAACAAATGACAGTGAGATGGCTCCAATTTATTTTACTGAAGAGCTTTGCGTTAGCGCAGGTGGCTGCTGTTTATAGAATCAGCCTATCTCTCAACAGTGCTCAACTGAAATATATTTTCAAGAGCATATATATATATATATAAGCTTTAAGAAAAATTATGGGAATGATTTGAGAGTAATTAATAAAGAAAAGCTAATATTAAAACTTAATTCCTAAACATTTTTGCTTGATAAAATGGTTTTAGTGATACAAGTCTTATTAATTAACCCATGTCTAGGGGAGAAGAGGTGGATTAATACATTTTCTAAAGGTATTTGTGTTTAAGTGAATATAACAAACCAAACTGGGATTAGAACAGATCTTCAATTAACAATTCTAAGCCATTATCCATTACACCATCCACACATACAAGCTTACAGCACCTGGTCCAAAATATTTGGACAAAAAAAAATAAATTTGACATCTTTAGTAAGGTTGAAGAACTCAGTCAAAATGTAGCACTCAAAACAACAACAAGGATAATAGTTCAAATGCTTCATAGAATATATCTTTCTGTTTGTATGCATTTTAGTCAAAGAGAAAAAAAAAAACTGAGAATTAAAATAAGGATTTTTGAAGGCAAATTCAATATCAAAAGGTTGTTTAGATGAACTCAATGATACGATAAAGAACAAATAGGTAACGTTTACCAATCTAACAGGCTTCACTTATTAAAGCTTCATAAGTGAATGCAATATGGTGAAATTGAAGAAAAAATTCTGATATTTTTACTTTTGTGTTTGATTTTCATTGTTAATCATGGTTCACGTGTATTTGACTTGTTACACAAATGTTAGTATAATTTGTGGCATTTCAAATTCAAGGATAGATGACACATCTATTTGAAGTTCCAAGAAATTAACAGATTCCAAGCCTAACTAAAAACTGTAAATATTGTTTTATTTATGTAAGTATATAAAAAATTTAGTTTGTCTATGTGAGATTCAGATAATAATGAATATTTGTAAGTATGGGTGTGTGTGTGTGTGTGTGTGTGTGTGTGTGTGTGTGTGTGTGTGTGTAGTAGTAGTAGATATTCTCTGATAAAGCTTTAATAAAAGTGAGACTAGTTAAATTGATAAACATTTCCTATCTGTTCTTTATCTTATTATCCTCTCAGATTCCAATCTATATTTAATCCCAACACAAATTCAATAATTTTTTTTAAAAAATGGCTTTATTTACTCTTGTTTAATTTCTTTTTTTTTATATATATAAATTGGTGGAAAAAACAACAAAAAAACACTTTAGATGCCAAACAAAAAAAAGAACTAAATCTAGCACCAAAGAAAAGAGGAGAAATTACAGTTCATTTTTTTTTTTTTTTTCATTTTATGAGAAAGAGAAAAGTGTTACCTTCAAAACAAAAAAAACACACATTCAATGATTGGGTTTTTTCCTGGAATGAATGATTGGAAAGATCAGAATATAGTTTTTTTTTTTTTTAAGTTCAGGTTGTATCCAGAAAAAAAAAAGAAAAAGAAACTGTCTCAAAGATTTTGGCATTATATCAGATTATAAAAATCTTATTAGATTGGAACACAGTTTTCATTCACACACATCCACACACAGATTTAATAAATTTTGTATTGTCTTTAATAATAAGAGTTGGATGTCTGCCTGTACATGCCCAGGTACATCTGCAGGGCAATGACACTGATACAAAGTGTGAAAAGAGCTTTGGAGAAGAGTAAAGTCCAGGAACCCAGTTGACATGCATGGATTAGAATCCTGAAAGAAAGAAAAAAGTCAGTTCAAGCAATACTAAGTCAATACCATTTCTAACAAGTTTCAGTTTACATGTGAAACACAGCAGCAAGAATTTGAGCAGCTGACTGCATCAACTGAATCAAAAACAAAAGTCACTTTAATATAGAAACCAACAAGTACCATACAAATATCAATTGAATAAATGTTTCATGTAAAAACTTATCTGCACTACCTCCCTTGAAATACATAAGCAGTCAGGCATTTAACACTTCTGCAGTTGACATACTTATACATCGTTACAAAGCTTACATTGCTTGCTGTCAACATAAATATACCTTTTCAAGACGCCATGAAATGTCAGTTCCTAGTGTTTGTCTTATCAATTAACTAATGCTTAGTGCCATTTCCAAACTAGTGTAGACACAGCAGCATACAACATATTTTTTTTTTTTACTTATTTTATCATATTGTGTGTTGGCAGTGTTGTTTAGCTTAGTCAGGTATCCCATCAAAATGTTGAGGCCCATGAGAAATTGCTGTCAGCATCATTATAGTTATTTATTTCCAATACATAGCAATTTGGATCCATAATTTTATGAGAAAACCTGATGGATAATATCAACATTCTCTAAACTTTGTGCCTAACTTTGAAAACTCTGGTGAGAACAAGCCAAGGAATTAGGAAGAAGAATAAATAGAAAACTCACTCGACAATTAATGGCCGGAAACAGCTGAGAATAAGAAGGAGGAAGACAACAGGGAAAAGAGTCTTTCGAAGATCACTTCGGGACCACAGCCACACAAGTAATGCTGTGCTAATATGTTGGATCTGCAAGAGAGAGAGAGAGAGAGAGAAAAAAAAAAGCCAGAAAGACAACATGCAATTATTGTAGACCATAAAAATACAAATAATGTTTCAAGTGGGAAAACTGCAATAAACATGTGAAAGGGATAAGCAACATTTTCTCTAAGTTTTTTTTAAAGCAAATCACACACATTACAAAACAAATGAAATTATACTGTCAGTGATACACCCAGGATTTTGATTTGTGTTGTAGCATTTTAGCAAGAGAAATGACAAAAACATTAAAAAAAATAAATAAAAAAAAATAAAAAAATAAAATTAAAAAAATAAATTAAAAAAAATTACCAGAGAACAAATTAAAAAATTCATGAAGAATAATTCATTTGGTGTGCACAAAAGTTACCAATACACAGTTTTGAAAACTAGAGACTGAATCTTCTTTCATGCATCAGGTCATTTCAATATGCATGCAAGCATGACTCTCCAAAACTTCCTTTCTTCTTAGTAATTTGTTTTACCCTTTACCATCACTCTTTGTCACTGTTCTGCCATCCATTACCACAAACTCATTAAGCAAGTTACTTTCTGGTTCTCTTGCTTTCAATGTCCTGTGAGTGTTAAATTCTCTACACACTCTTTCTTCATAATTTGTCTCAGAAATTTCATCTATCTTATTCTGATAGTTAATACAAGTTTCCTTGTTAGTCTTATTTTCATTAAAATTTCCTTGTTGCTCACATACTCTGTTTACAGTATTCTGAGCATTATATCAATAGAACCACATCTTTGTCATTTCAAATTTCATTTTAATCTGTAAGGAAAGTGTTCCACATTGGGTTTCTTTTTTTTTTTTTAAATTTTTTTAATCCATTCACTCCAAGCAAGGTTTTGGTTCCAATCCTACAGGAATGACTGCAAAAACATCCACCTCTCTAAGTGTATAGACAAAACACATAAATGCATGCTGGGATTTCTTTCACTCCAATAAGATAAGCCACTTCTCAGTCTCATCTAACTTAGTTCTATTTTTTCTTATCTTAAAGTCAGAACACTGTGATTGCTTGTCTGTATCCTTTTTTGTGTGTTAACACAATTCTTAGTTTGTGAACTTTTTGCTTTATTACTGTTGCCTTGCCTTATATATATTGATTGCTTGCGTAATATTCTTTATCAGTTCTGTTTGTTGGGCGTTTCTGCCAATTACTCTACACAAGTTGATAATGACACTAAGACACAAGGAGCTACAGGAGGTGAAAGGAAATGAGAAAAAGTCACTAGAAGACTTTACTGCCTTATAGAAGATTAGACATTACAGGAGTCCAACACTCTTTCTTTGCTTGTAATGATATTTTTCTTATGACTTCATACATTACAGTTTCTGGAAGACACATTTTCCTATTCACCTTCAGTTTTCTTTTTCACATTTTCCATCACATGTTACTACACAACTGAAATAATTAAATTTCAGTACCCGCTTGATTTTGACAACTTCAATATATAGCTTGCACCTTGAGTTATAGACTGAGCCCACAGACACTAAATTCACAACTGAAAACTTGGTTTTTACTGAAAAACTTTTGGATACACTTAAAGTTTGATAAAAACAAAATTTTAGTGTTAATTTTTCATTATTTGATGCCATTCACCTGAATGCATAAAAAATTATTGATAAAAAGTTTATATTAAAAAAATAAAATATTGTTTTACTTCACCACTCTTGCTTTTTACAAGGCTATAATGATGGGCACCCAGTGATGATCAAATTCACAACAGATTAAAATTTCTGCTAGACTATTAACCCACAGCGAAGCAACTACATTAATACACGCCATTCAGAAATTATAAAAACACTACAAAGTTTAAAACATTTTAATGGAATTTGTTTAAAACACCAGGTTTTTTTGGGTTTTTTTAAATTACTAGTTTGTTACCTGTCACTTCACTGACAACAAAATGAAAAATTTTCAAATCTAAATTGTTTGTCGATTTTAAATACTACATTTATTAGAAAATATGTGCAGTTTAAATACTGAAAGAGACTTAAAAATGACTTGAAATGGCTGCACATTTTGGCTTATTCTCTCTTCCTGTTAATCAAGAGTTGTTGCCAGACAGAAAACAAAAATTAGCCCTCAAAACAAGTATGTCCATTTTATTTAAATTGTAAGTGTACATATGTATATGTACATGTATTTATTAATTAAATGAGAGCCCAGAAAATGTTTCCAAAATAAATTACTGAATATTTTCTGAAAATCTTAATTATCTGATTTTTTTTTTCTTATGGTTTTAAAAATAGATTTCTTTTCCTCCTACTTTATAATTTTATTGCCTTTTTATTTTAATAAAATCTATGAAAAACATAAGCATCTTGTAATTATAAAAACAATACAAAAGTCATTAGATTTCATTAACAAAACACATTAAGCAGAAAGTTAATACTTTATGGCAGTATGCTTTGCATTCAAAGTTATTACCAAGTCTGCTAATGTTTCTCCCATGTATCAATGAGGAAAGTCTGTTTCAATTCCTAAGAGCAAAATATTGGGCATTACCAGTGTACACCTTGCATGCCATCATTCTCCAAACATTTTTATATGACTGAGGTCTGGAAAAGGCAAGCCTCTTCAGTACAGATGAAAACTGATCACCAAAACATGAAACAGTCACCTTTGCAGAATGGCAAATTTTAACTGTGTTCTTGAAAGATCAACTTTTTCCTAGCTTTGCTATCCAGCTGTTTTCTATCATCACTTCATACTTGAGTGATATCAAATTCCGTCAATAATAAAGAGGCAGTATAGCCTACAGCTAGTAAAGTAACACTAGATCATAATTCTTCCACCACTAAACCTACAAGCAATCTCTTTCATGATTTATCATGATAGATCATGAAAATAAAATATTGAAGCAGTTTTTGCCAGTTCAGATTATGTTCTGCAAACCAGAGTTTGAGGGTCATCTCTATCCCTCTGGTATCTGTGGCATTTATACAAACTTTGCTTATTGTAATTGAAGGAGTGGGATACTTACAATACCTGGATAATTGTGTGGTCAATTTTCCAAACACCTTTTCATTGATTTCTTAAAAGCATCTCTTACAATTCCTTGTTTAGTTGAATAAAAAAAAAAAAAAAAAAAAAATTTATTTCATACCTGCTCATTTCTCTGATCCTCACAATTCTTGAAAAACTTGCAGATTACCATGATTCTGCAGGTTGACCCAAGCCTTGTGAGTAAAATTGGGTAGACAGAACACTTGGGTGTCATCGATAGCTATGCTAGTCATTGTGGCTGAGGGCTTGAGCATGCTGGCCTTGTTCAAATTGTTGATCAGCTAGATAACATGCTCTTTCCCAGAAACTGTAACTAAGGTCTGCTCAGAAAAGTTGCAGTATAAACCACAGGTAGGCTCTGTGGGTGTTGAATAAATACAAATATGCCTGAGCAAGCGTCTGCAATAGGGATTGGCTAGCTGACCTAGTAGACAGTTAACCTCGAATACAAGTGACCAGCTATACATGTATATACATGGGATAAAATTTTAAAAGTATATTTATAGTTCACAAGAGAAATTGAGCTTGAAACACACAATTCAAGAAATCATTTATTTTCACAATGTTCTTATAATTTTCTGGTTTGCATTGCTTTGTGTGATCTCAGTCTCTTTCAAAAGAGGTTACCGACTGGCTTCCAGTCCAAATAAAATACTCTCTTGGGACAGGCTCAAAAGAATAAGCCAACTTAATCAACCACAGTAGAGATCATAGTCATTGTTAAATCTCTGATGACCGATTTGTTTTTTTATGGCTTATAAACTTCTTGCAGGTTATTTAAAGCCAGAAAATATTTTTAGATTGTAAGAATTTTTTTTAGAGATAATAGTGATTTAGGCATACAAGTCTTACTAATTAATCCATAGCTAGGGGGATGGTAGAAGAGGTGAATCTATACCTTTCCCAGGGATATTTTCACATAAGTGAATATAACAAACCCACCTGGAAATAGAACTCAGCTCTGATTAATAATTCTGAGCAATTATCCATTACATTAAAGAAGTTTACATCACCTGTTATTCCCAAGCAACAAATATTTGAAATCTTTCAAGCATCAACCAGTTTTATCAGTAGGAAAATATAGAACTATTTCAGTCATAAAGCAAGCTAAATTATCAAAATGAGTCTATCTTCAACACAGTAGTTTTTTCCAAAAAGAAAAGATCTGTTTTACACATGGTCAGATGAGATCAAAGCATGTCATCTAGAAACATGATTTATGTATAGATATTATGTGGCTTTAATGAGAGATATACAAATGTGAAAATGTATAAAAAGCAATTGGTTAGTTACAGTGATCAGCAGCAGGAGTCAGAAGTGGAGATTTCATTCTAGCCTTGCTGTAAATGATTTGAAATAAGGAAACCTCATATTGAGTTTGACTTCAGAACAATAATCTTTTGATATTCTACCATGAGATGAAGAATATCACCAATACATTAATCAAAACCTTACTATTAGACATGGGATTTAACCTGAAGAACAAGGAGCCTCCAAAAAAAACAAAAAAAAAAAAAAAAAAAACAAACACACACTTACTAAACTGACATTTGAGTCAAAACTCATCTGAATGTATTTCCAATCAAATTCAATTCCACGGGCACCAACCCACAATGGAATAAACCTGGAAGGGAAAAAAAAGTTTAGAGAAAAGCTGAAAAGCCAATGAAATGACAATAGTTACATTATAAAAGAAAACAAATTTTAAAACAAAAAGATTTACAGATCGCAACAGCTATTAAGGAGATGTGATTAAATATATTTTAATGTTTAAAAAAAAATAAAAAATCATTCACTATTATTATTGTTTAGGTAATAATAAGCATCATAACAAAGCAAAAAAAGCTATATTGTGGAAAAAGGAATTTTCGAAAATATACGTATTTATGGTTATTTTTTTAACTTTTATCAAAAATGACATTCTCATACATGTAGTTATGGATAATATTATACATTAATTATTAATTTTTTAAATTAATAACTATTTGTTCTCAGTTGTTGACATTAATAACTATTTGCTGATGTGTTGAAATTTTGGAATAATGCAATGATAAAAATTTAAATTTCATCTCTCTGATAGAGGTGGTGATCTGTTAACTCACTGAATTCTACACAAAAATTAAAAAAAAAAATCCCAATTCTTTTGTAGGAATTATTCTTATGATTTTCTGTAGAACCATAGTTTATTTTCTGTTTTATCTTTATTTAATCAACATAATGCAAGCCAAGTGTATATTTCTGCAGTTCTACGTAATTTTTCTCAAACACATTTCTTTTATGATTTAGGGACAGAATGGATTGGTAAATTTCTTCTAAGCATTATTGTACACATGATGGACACCCATTAAATTGACAATAGACATACCATAATTATCTGCATATAAACAAACCCTTTACAAAATTCTGGAAAAAAACCTTACATAATATACATGAACATTTTAGAAATTGTAGCAGTGAAATTTAGTATTTGTTTAACTTTTTAGTCAGTTCATATTGACTAAAAATATTAATTTATATAGTTTACATCATGTTTTGAAAGACAAAATTTACAGTGTTTAGAGCAAATGTGCAGACATGTTTACACAAGAATGCAACGATCTTTCAGAAAAAATAAGCTGACATTAGGAGAAACAAATTTATAAACAAAACACCTTCCAGTGGACAATGGCTATTTCTCTATTAGCAGAACAAACCAGAAGTGAACATTACTATCACATCTATGAGCAGCATATAAAAGAACTGAAAATATATTTATCGGTCATCTACCATTAGAAATGACTCCCCTTATTGCATCTCCTATTAAACTCTGTCACAGGTCGTATACAGCAAACCAAATTCCCTATGCATGTGTGACTGTCCATTATTTTGATGATGAATTATTTTTAATCAGTTCCCCCCCATGCAAGTCAATAATACAACTAGGATGCAAGGAGCTATTGGAAGTGAGAGAAAATGAGAAATCCAATCCTAAATGGGAAACAAGGGATAAACCTCTACTCCTGTTCAAAAAAAAAAAAAAAAAAAAACTCAGGGAGGAGTGTGAACTGGATGATAGGCAAACATATCTACATCTGTTATAGATGTCAATATAATCAATTTAAACAAGCACAAAAAATTGAGTCAAAGACATTACTGCTATGCAAAAACAAACATTCTCAACTGAAATTCATATTCAGAAGAGTTCATTTTTTTTCCTAATAACTCTTATACCACCCATGACCACCCACACACAATGGATTCTCCTTAAAGATATGACACACAAGTTTCCAGCCTTTTTAATCCCTTCTTGGTCAAGCCAAGAATTTTTCAGCACACACTTGTATTAATTGAAAGACTGGAAACAATGCAAAATAGAAAAAAAAATCTATGGGAGGCCAGAAATAAATTGTCCAGCTTCAATTTGTTCTTTTCAGTTATCGTTAAGTGTAATGTTTACTTACCGAGTCATCACTAGTTCTGCAGTGGCCCAGCCCATGCCAGCAATCAGGAATTTCAGTTGACCTTTACCAGCAATGGAGTTCATCACTAAATAAAGTCCAATAAGGTCAGCCAGATCAACAAAACATTTCATAGTTTCCTGCAAAAGAAGAAAAAGAGTAATTTACTATGCTTTTATTTGTTATACTACAAAGAGCATTAGATATTGAGAAAGAAGAGGCTATGATCATCACATATATAACAATAGTAATGAATTAAATAGTTTATTTCTTGAACTTCTCTACCTTCTTAAAAGACTAAAGTGTGCCTAGGCAACTTTTAAATACAGCACAACAGCTAAGTTTTAGTCATGCGAAACATTGTGCTTGTAAAATCTATAATCTCCACAGGATGTAAGCACTAACCTAGTTAAAAGATTATTACAAGATTTGAAAAGAAAAAGGTAACAAAATAAAGAACATGCAATATGTTTGTTGTTGAAATTGGTTTGGCTTGTAAAGCTCAGTCTTTTTAGTGCTATTAGCATTGAAATCTGACATTGGCCAATGAACATGCAGGTCATGATTAATACAAGCACATCTTCAAACAACAATGTAGTTAAATGGGAAAAGACAAAAGAACTTGCCTGAGGATTATTTGCTAGACTTAAATGAATTCTAATAACAGAAACTTTACAGGAAAATTTATTAAAGAGAAAATAAAACAAAGGAATTTTTCATTCTGATTTTGAGACAAAGTGTTGTTACTATAATATATAGATTCATTTTGGACCAGTATCCAGATCTTTGTTGTTTTTATATCTGGACTGCTATATGTTCCAGCCCTCTTTTGGTCTGATTTTCCAAGATGATGAATTGTTACTATTATACACTGATTCACTTAGACCAGTATCCTCGTTTCTATCATATCTGGGCTGCTGTACCGTCTAGCCCTCTTTTTGTCTGTTTTTCCGATAAAACATGTTCTTATACTTCTTTCAGACTAGTTTCCTCATTTGTTTTTATCTTTGCTGCAACATTTTGGTTGTGTTAAAAGCTTTCTTTCTATATGAAGTATTGACACAAGTTGTTGTTACTATTATCCAGTGATTCATTCTGACCATTTGTTGTCTTTAAGTATAGGCCACTTCATTGTCTATCCATCCTCAGACAGCTTGTTATGTTTAATTGCCTTCCAGAAATTTTGAAGAAAAATCCTTCATCTGAGCCAAAGATATGCTGCTCTTCATTCCTCTATCTTTCCACATCCAATGTCTTTCTCAGAAAATTTCCAGTTCTTGCCCATTCTTCATTGATCTATCTCTCCACTGAGCCTCTATTTCTGCATTGTCTGACCCAGGGACTAAACTCAGGTTTTCAAGTTTGTTTTTTTAATCTACTGGCCCATGTCACATAGAACACTTAGGTAATGTTATTTTTATGTATTGGAGCCTTAAATCTAATGTTTATTTTCTAAGTGGAGGATACTGTAAGGTTCAGATCTATGCTTAACCTGTTGACAAGATGATTTGGGAACAGCATGCACACTAATTCCTTGAATGGCTCCATTTTTTAGATTTATTCTATTTATAATTCTGTCTTCCATAGGAGTACTCTCTTTTTCCTGCTATACATGATCAGCCATACCTGATTTCAAAGTTTCTGCACAGATTACAGACTTTTATTACTGAAGCTATATTTTTTAATTCTGCACTTCCTTAGGAAAAACAGCAGAAATTATAGATAATTATTGGGTGTCATCACAAAAGCAACCATTCATTTTGAGTACAAGAAGCAAGACAAAGACAACAGCTTGAATAAAATTGGTGCAGAATGACAATTATTTCAGAAATTCAGACTGAAACTGAAAAGGCTAAGGAAATTCAAATATCAAAAGAAAAAAAGAAAAAAAGAAAAAATAAGATGGCAAAATCAAAAAGGTTATTCCCGATAACTCACACCAACAACATCAAGTGAATCTGTGGAAACTTCAGTGGGAGGAAAGAACGTTGCCAACACGAGCATCTTGCACAGCTGAGTGAATAAATAAGCCGTGCCTGCCTGTACACATTTCCAGAAAGCACTATACTCAGCCCTAAAATAAAATAAAAAAAAAATAAAAAGCATTAAAAAAAAAAAAAAAAAATCTTGCTCTTCTTCACTTAATGATATTTTGTACAAACATCTACATGGGCCATCATAATAATGCATGTAAGATAGATTCATAGCAAAAAGAGTTATACAAATTCACGAGTACAAATGGACTTCTCTGAGGTAGAAAGAAGGACTCAAATTTGGTTACAGTGAAACCTTTGACTCTGCACACATATATATAGAGAGGGGAGAAAAGAAATATTGTGACACAGCAGTATTTAACATAATTTTGCACAGTGAGCAAAAATATTGTTTTCATAGACATTTGGTTATGACTCAACAAAAAAAATTAGTGCTCTGATAGTGGTTGAGGATCCATTTGAAGTGTATTGCAAAGACAAATCTGCTGAAATCAAACATTTTGAAAATATTTTCAATTTTGGATATCCATGGCCCCAAAACAAAATTATGATCCAAAAACACATTTGTTGTAAATTATTTAAATATCACATGAGTTAGCATCCCCCCCTCTTCCGATAAATAGTCACTTGGTCAGTGATTATAGAGTTTGTACTTGATAAATAGTTGAGTGAGGCTTGGATTCACTTCAAGTCACTCTTCAGTTACCAAGACTTACAACAACTCACTCAAATAGTTTAATGTTTGAATCTAATTCGAATCTAGGATAGTGACCTAAAAGCCTAGACATTGATCCTAGCTCACCCACTACAGCAAAAGAATGACATCATTGGCATATAGATTTAAGGAATTATGTCAACGACCACGATGAAAATTTCCTAACAAGATTAGAGCCCTGATAAGCTGTGTCAGCCCTTTATCAATACTTGTTCAGACTATGACATCACATTAGCTAAGATGGACACCATTTTATTAAAACCCCAAACAAGATTTTTGCAAGACATTTTCTTGCTGCAAGCAAACAGGAACTTATTGAAAACCTGGATGACTCCTTCAGGAGACTCAAAAAACTAAGAAAAGATTGCAATTTCAAAGACCGTACAGCCAAACAATGTGGGAACAAAGCCATGCCAGATGCTTTTATTAGTGTAATTGCTTCTCCAGCAGTACATCAAAGATGCTGAAAAATAAAACATTGGATTTACAGAGCAGAGAGCTTACAATCAAGTTTCAGCACTGTATTTAGCACAGAAGAATAACAAAACATGTTTCCTGTATTTCCTCTCTGGCTGTTACATTTTGTGAAAGTAATCCTTCTGGCAAATACAATATGATTAATATCTTAAACCCACCTGAATCAACAATGGTAGCTGCAAATTACAAGCCTGGGTGTAATAGGAAAGCCCATTTCTTTTTGGGGTCATGCCATACTATAAGAGAAATAATTGTCCTGCTCAGGAAGCCATATGTAACAAATGTTCTAAAAAGGGACACTTTGCTAGAGCATATCAATCTCAAGTAACAAATGCCACAAGTACTACCATGTTCTCTACCAACATAACAGTAAGTAAAGCAGAAGTACCGGGTGGGCTAGTCACATACTGCAATGATCATAACTATAAAAAAACGAAAAATGTTTATCACCTTACTTGACTCTTGTGCTTCTAAAAGCTTTATTAGTGAAAATACAATTTATTCTTTAAAATTAAAATGTATTCCTTCATCAAAACAGGTAACTATGGTACAAAAAAAAAAAAAAAAAAAAAAAAAAAAATAAGAAGTCAATGTACAGGATTTGTCATCGTTAGTCTCAAACTTAATGATAGACTATATTCGTCCATTCACCTGAGTATTATGAAAGACTTGTGCTGCGATATGGTGCTGGGGAGTAATTTTCAGCATCAGTACCAGAAAGTTATTTTCAAATATGGCAATTATCTTCCTGAACTGGTTATGGGAAATACAGGAACATATTATGCTTTAGAGGCTGCAGATATGGAGGAACCCACATTGTTCCCAAATATTACATCTATATTCAAACCAATAACTACAAAATCTAGACGCTATAGTCAAGAAGACTAGAAATTTATCAATACGAAAATAAATGATGTGCCCAAGTTGTTGTTGTTAAAGACAAAAACAGAAGGCAGAGGAAGAGATTATGCATAGATTATTTGCAAACAATAAATATATACACTGAACTTGATGCATAGTTGTTGCTGAGGATTGATGATCTAGTTACAAAGCTTGCCAATTACAAGTACTTTTTAACCTTTGACTTAAAAAGTGCTTATCACCAAGTTAAAATAAAACAATGACAAAAAGTACACCACTATCAGTTTACTAGGCTTCCTTTTGTAGTAACCAATGGGGTCCTTGCTTTTTAATGATCAATGAACAAGATCATAAAAGAAGAAAACTTTAAAAGGTACTCTACTGTATCTTGATAATATTATCATTGGCACTGTGACTGAAAGGAAGCATAATGAGAATACCTAAGAATTTCTGAAAGTTGTATAGAAAAAATAACAACCTTAAATGCTGCTAAAACTATTCAGATGGTAATGTCACCAAATACTTTAGGGTATTGTGTGGGAACTGGCACCATTAAACCTGACCCAGAATGGATGAAGCCATTACAAGAAATGCAACCCTCCAAAGATATAACACTTAGTAGGGTCAGGGGATTGTTTGCATATTATACAAAATGAATATCCAAATTTTCAGATAAAATATGTCCCCCAGTTAAATTTGATTAGTTCCCACTGAATAAACAAACTCTCTGCATTTTTGAATCCTTAAAATTCAAGCCATGTAAAGCAACTCTGTGGGTTATTAAATAAAATTTACCTTTTGAGGTAGAGTGCGATGCTTCGGATAATACTATATATGCAGTATTAAGTCAGAATGGGAGGTTTATTGCATTTATGTTGAAAACACTCCAAGGAAGTGAAACAAAGTATAATATAGGCAAGAAAGAATCTTTATAGATAGATCATCAATCCTCAGCAACAGGTATGCATCAGGTTCAGTTTATATATTTATTGTTTGCAAATAATCTGCACATAATGTCCAGAATGGGAGGCCTGTTGCGTTTATGTCGAAAACATTTCAAGGAAGTGAAAAATGCTATAATATAGTCAAGAAAGAAGTTTCAGTAATAATCACTGCAATGCATAAATGGAGGTATCTTTTGCTGCAATGTCGCTTCAAGTTTTATACAGATATCAGGTCAGTGTTGTTTATGTATGATAATCGAAGGCATACAAAAGTAAAAAATGACAAAATCAATGAATGGATAATGGAGCTTGGTGAACTAAACCTTGATATTAAATATCAACCTGGAAAGAGTAATGTCGCTGCAGGCACTTTTAGTCATGTCTATTGTACGTCTGTAAATTCTCAAGGTTCAACTGTTAAGGATTTACACAAAGAATTATGCCATTCATGGGTATCAAGACTCCTGCATTTTGTAAGATCAAGAAATCTCCTTTTTTCTTACTGAAGACATTAAAAAAATATGTGCATCATGCAGAGTTTGTGCAGAGTTAAAACCTCAGTTCTATCATCCTCCCGAAAGTACGCTGATAAAAGCCACCGGACCTATGGAATGCATCAATATTGATTTTAAGGGACCTCTCCCAATGGCTAATCATAATCTGTACTTGTTAGTGATTGTTGATGAATATTCTTGGTAGCCATTTGCATTTCTGTGTCTGAATATGCACACTTTGACAGTTATTAAGTCCCTAGAAATTTTATTTGGTTATGTGTGGAATGCAGAGTTATATTCACTAAGAAGACATTCTCTCATCTCCCAAGAATTGAAGGAGTATTTACCAAGTAATGCAATGAGTACTTCTCCACCATATCACCCAAAAGGTAATGGTCAGATAAAGTGATACATTAGGATTATATGGAAAACTATTCAGTTGACTCTTAGGTCTCAGTGATTAGCGGAAAAACACTGGGAACAAGTTCTGTCATAATCTATTCAATCTCTTATGTACAGCTACCAATTGTACACTCCATGAGCAATTCTTCAAATTTCAAAGGCGTACTTCTCATGACAGCTCACTCCCAACTTGATTAATGAGACCTGGACTAGTACCTTTAAGATGATTTTGTCTGTATGAGTAAGAGTGAGACTCCTTAGTAGATAAAGTTGAACTGATTGATAGCAATCTGACCTTTGCTAACATCAAGCATACTGACAGAAGACAATCAACTGTATCTAAGATTTGGCTCTCTGTCCTGATCAATCAGAACATTCCATACTTTGGCAAACTTCTCAAATCTTGAACAATTTCTCCACTGAAGAAAGTCGTAGTCCAAAACTTACTCCGTTGTTACCTACTCTAGATGAGTCATCAACTGAAAGTAAAAGTTTTCAAATAGAAAACCAATATCCAGGACCAACAACAGCTAATATGAACCAATCTGAGATCAAACCGTATATCAAAATTTTCCATTAACATTAAATTTTATCACACCCACTTCCATACGATATGGGTGCGATAAAATTTAATGGAAAATTTTGTCATCAGTTAAAAAAAAAAAAAAATATATATATATATATATATATATATATATATATATATATATATATATATATAATTATTATGAAATGGACAAAAGTCCAACAATTATTTTAAGACATTTCTATGTTTATACATTCGAGAACGAATATTTTCTGTGAAAATTTCTTGGACATTCAGGCCAGTAAATGTTTGATACTGTTTATTATAAACAGAGCATTGACTTAAATATTTGTATCTATAAAAAGAATGTATAAACATAAAAATGACTTAAAATAATTGTCGGACTTTGTCCATTTCATAATGTGTGACGTCATTTGTTTACATTTGATATGCCATTAGCAGATATGAATGTACATGAGAGATTCATGGAAGATTGAAGTTTAAATACAGTAAATTCGACCTTGCTAACCAAATGATCCTCTGTGGCCAAATTGGTAAAGGCACGTCAAGCTAAATGACAGTTGCATATAGGATACACGTCCGAATCCTGTCAGAGGACAAATATTTTCTGTGAAAATTTCTGACATTCAGGCCGGTAAAT